CTACATTATAGTAAAAGTCCTAACATTTACTGCTCCATAACATATACTATTGCTTCTTTCAGGCCTTTTTTATGTTGCCCTAAGCATTTACTCTAATTCAAGAGAAAATTCTGAAGGGGGAAAAAAAGATTTTTAATCTATTTAAATGTTAGCTGCTTTCTATTACAGAAGATGGAAAAATACACTAAGAAATCATTTAAACCTCTGGAGGCCAGCACTCTAAGCTGAACTGGACTATTTTTTTTTTTTGTACAGTTGTCAAGTTAAACATATTTTATATTTATAAAAGGCTACTTGAATTCTGCACTCTCAAAAGTAAGATTCTTAAGATACTAGGATCCTATGCTCAAAACACCCTTTGTTTCTGAAGTAAATGTTATGAGATAACTGGTGTATTTAAAAATGGTATTTGTTGATCTCTAACAAGTATTTCTAGAGTGCCAACTATGTGAAGTACAAAGTTTGGGATGGTGGGAGCATAGCAGTTAACAAAACAGATAAAAATCCTGGCCTTTATGAAACTTATGCTCCAGGGAAAATCCTATGTAGTTAACTAAATAAATGAAACAGACAGCCTATTACACCGGGAGAGACTTGGTAAAATGATTAAATGAGGAAGGGGGTGGAGGGTGGCGGATGGGTTGCAATTTTAAGTAAGCTGGTCAAGGAAGGCCCCTTCGAGAGGCAATCTTTAAGCTCTAGGAGGCAGACAGGTGTACTTAGGGAAGGAGCGATCTGGCAGAAGGAAAAGCAAGGACAAAACCCAGTATGGCTGGAGTGGAATGAGCAACAGGGAGAGCAGAAGTGAGGGACGAAGTCTGAGAGGTGACGGGACAGAATCATGCAGGGGACTGTAAGCCACTGAGATGTGGGATGGAAAAGCCATTTGACGAGAGGTTTTATTTAAAGCATTAATGTGATCTGGCTTTTTTTTTTATTGAGATATAAGTCACATATCATAAAATTCACCCTTTTAAAGTGCACAATTCAGTGGTTTTTAGTATAGTCACAAGGTTGTGCAACCATTACCACTTCTCATTCCAGAACTTCATCACCCCCCAAAAAAACCCCCTACCCATCAGCCGTCACTCCCCTTACCCCGTCCTTCACAGGCCCTGGCAAGCACTCATCTGCTTTCTGACTCTACAGATTTGCATATTCCAGTCATTTCATATAAATGGAATCACACTACACGTGGCCTTTTGTATCTGGCTCACTTTGTCGGACGTCTGGCTACTGTGATGGGTACAGGCCGAATGGAGACAAAGACAGAAGCAGGGAGACCAGCAGAGAGATGAATGCAGTAATTCAAGTGAGAGATGAGAGAGGTTTGAAACAGGATGGGAAGCAAGATGGGAATAACAGCTGGATCTTGAGTACATGTGGTAGACTGGATGGCAGCTAGGAGAAAGAAGAGTCAAGGACAAGGCGGGTTTTTGGCTGGAGCACCTGAATGGAGCTGACATCAACCCAGGGAGCAGGGCCAGGGCAAGTGGGAGGAAACAGCAGGGGCTGGATTCTGATGTTAAGTAAACCTGGGATGCTACCAGCTTTCCATGGGAAGATGCCACAAAGGGAGCTGGACAGGAGTCTGGAATTCAAAGGAGAGGTCTGAGCTGGAGATACACATTTGGGAATCAGAAAATGAAAACATTAATACCATGAAACGAGAGGCGATCACCAAGGGAGTGAGTGATTACTATAGAAAAGAGAGCACATCCAACCTAGGAGTCCTCGAGCATGTTAGTATTTATAGGTCAGAGGGATGAGGAGCAACCAGTGAAAAAGACTGAGAAGGAAACACCAATAAGGTAGGAGAACCAAGAACACAATCTTAAAAAACAAACAGAAAAAGTTCTCATGGAGGAGGGCACGGCCAGCTCTGCCCAGCACGGCTGATGTGCCAATGTAGGGGGGGGACTGAGAATGAACCACCGGGTTGAGGAACCGGGGCCGTGGCCAGCAGGCATTCACAGACCACGGATCCTCCCTCCAGGCCCCCCCCCCCAACACACCCTGTGCCAGAGGAAGGGGGGAGCGCCTTTCCCAGGGGCGGCTTTGCAAAGGCACAGGGCGAGCAGAGGTGGGGGGGTGTCAAAGGCCTGACTGCAATGGGTTCAGGAGACAGAGGGAGAAAAGGGATTACAGTCAGGGGTAAATCCTTTTGAGGAGTGCAGCTGTAAGGGGGTGGAGAAACAGCTGTAGTGGGGGGTGGGGCAAAGAGAGGGCTTCCTGTAAGACGCGAGAAATAAAAACGTAAAGAAGGAAACAGAGGATAAAGGAGAGGGCAGAGAAACGCTGGGACAGGTTGGAGGGAGACAGAATTACACACCTATCTGTCAAACAGTCTGCAACTAAAATATAAGGCATCTACTGATGTATGAAAAACAAGTAAGGACATGCTATCCACCCCCCATGCCCAGGAGACACAAAACCCATCACTTAAAAGGATCTGGATCTACTTTTCAAGGCTGAAGATACTGAATTGATTGTACAGAGAGGGTCAGGGTTAGGCTCTGAGCTTGGAGTCAGAAGAGCCAAATTCAAAGACCATGACAGTTACAACATCCCAGAAACTTCTTTTGACCTCCCCTTTACATCCACTAAATATGGATTAAAAACAACCTGTCCTTTCTACCTTATGGGACTGATGAGATAATCAAATGAAATATGCAAACACTGTAACTCTTAGGTGTCGTATCCCCGTAAGGCATTTTTAGTGCTATCGAAGAAGGAGGAATTGTATATGTTTGGTCTAATTCCAATACTCTACACTTTAGCTCCAAGGGGGAGAGGGAAACAAAGGGAAAAACAAACATTTTTGGCAGAATAAGTAATTAAAGTATGAAAAAAATAGCTTTCTGATATTGTATTTCAAACACAGTAAGTTGTACAGGAATTATGCCCTAATTTCCACCTTTAAAAAACTCAACAACCAAAAATCCTTTAGTTGAGATTCAGCTGAACCTGGAGCAAAAAAAAAAAAAAAAAAAAAAGTACACTAAATTCGACTGAAGGCATGAAGCCAGCCCATGCTTACAAAAAGATGTGACCTAGTATCTTTCCCTGAATCTCTCTTACTCTTCATGTTCGCTACCACCTGCCAGGGTCAACTCGACTATTTCGTCCTTAACTTCTTGCCCAATAATGGACATTGATAAGTCAGTGTTTAAAAGAAGGGTTTTTTTTTTTTTTAAGTTATTATCTTCATTTATTTTTAATTGAGGCTGCTTCGTGTATGGACCATAGTTCTTCCTAAGGAAAACACACCTTACAGGGAATCTTGATCAAGCCATTAACATTTCTCCTGATTCTGTCAGGTCAAGTATGACACGAAGGTGTGGGCTCACTTTTTCTAATAAGAGTATCTACGTATGTCAAGGAACTGTTAACAGAAAGAATTCTGAGATGGAATTTACGGTAGACACCAAAGCTGAGCTGCCCTCGTTGCTCAAGCTCCCCCTCGAATTTGGGCTGAACATTTCGGTAAGAATCCAGCTGGCCATGAGAACTCATAAAATCACAAATTTTAAAGGAACGTGCGAGAGACAGAATACACAAGGAAATATACACACACCTATATATATGTACATAGACATACACTTTTTCTTTAAAATATGTCTCTATCTCTTTATATATGCATCACTTGGCAGAGGAATTGGAGCTTCCTTGTGAAATCAATATGTACACCATATACAATTAAAAGGAAAAAAAGCGCTTAGTTATTTCTATTTATAAAGGTATCTTCACATTCATGACATATCGTTTGTAGACCAATAACCTATTAGATACAGATTCTTTACTCAGAATCCTAATCTCCCACTAAAACCTCAGTTACTCCCTAAAATAATTCACTTTATAATGACCTACATTATAGAATTTATAGGAACAGATTACTCTGATGGGTAAGCATAGCCACCTCAAGCTCCCTCAGTCACAAACTTCAGCATTATTGGGGAAAGGATTTATTTTGAGCAAGTGATTTTTTTTTTAAGTTAAAACACATCATTTAAGGGGCCCAAGTCATTTAAGCATCAGTTTTAATTTGATTATTTTTAAAGAAAGTTTTATCATAATACATAGTACCCTAATTACCCTGATAAGTATTAACATATAATTAATGTCAAGGTAACATTAATAACATATTAACTAATCTTAATTACTTAGGGTCATCAATATGAACACCCAGTGATGGACTACATTATAAAATCTTCACAAATTTAGGATTATCTGAGGAGCGTGGAGCTTCTCACCCTCACCCTACTGGAACCAGGCTACACTTTTTCTTGGATGATGGCATCTGCCTCTTACAGCTTCTCTGCCTCCCATGCCCTTTGGGGAGGCGGCCAGTCATGTCCTGCTCCTGACAGCAAGTCTGTATCTAGCAGGCTCCCCCAACTCCATGTAGCTATCTATGCATTCTCAAAGCAGTACAATTAGAGCCCCATGCCCAAAGTGAAGCGCCTCTGCCCCAACCCAGCTGCATGGCCCCAGACAGACAACCCATGGGATCCCTTTAGGAATTCGTGTCCCTATCCATACAGTGAAAGAACTGGCCTGAGTGATCTCTAAGTCCCATCCAACCTTAAGACTTTGTGATGAATCTTGTTAATGGCTGGAGAAATTAATTTCTAAGTTCATCAGAACTGTGCCCAAAGAAAGAACAGAGAAACTCTGACAAACAACCTCAGAGGTTCCTGTACTTTGGTGCATGGAATTTATAGTCTCCTATTTTTGCTATGTTGTGGACATTTGGGTCTTCTAGGCTCTTTGTTATATTTCTAATAAGTGAGGTTCTTACTAAATGGGAAAGAATTACATTAAGAGCTTTTTTAAAAAGAAAATTAAATATGACTCACATATACTTCTTTCACATAAAAGAATTCAAGAATTTTTCAAAAATCCAGAGTAAATTATTCCTTTATGAAAACTTTTGTTTCTAAATGCATTTCCATTTGATAGATCAACAAAATGATACTGTATGCTAAAAAATGATTTACCTATAACTACATCATGGCCATCAACCAAGCCAGCAGAGAAGAGCTCCTGAGATACGCCATCTGCCGTATCTGTCCAAATGTGAAATGAATATGTATTAGTAACCATAAAATAAAAATCAACAACCCAGTACAATGTAAAAGATATTTTTCATTTACAAAAATCACCCACATGTGTTTTAATTCAACAATTCAGATTCTATCAGAAGGGAAAATTCAGAGGCAATGTGAAATATATTTTGCCATATACAATTTGCATCTTGGTGTTTATTCAGCAGAGGTTCTATGAAATTATGATTTCATTTTTGGTGAACCAAAAAACATTTGCCCTTTGGCTACCACCTGACTTAATCCTCAAATGTACCTCTGTAAGTTAGCTCATAACGGGTCCCAAAAGAAACTGCTTTTCTTTCTTGCCAAGGTCAATTCCATCCATCATCAATCCTTTTCTATCATTAGTAGCTACTGAGTCAGAATTTATGGCAAAGGTTGAACAGGCAGCACTTGACACAACCTTATATTTGGTACAAACAGCCTTTGAGCTTGTTGGACTATTAAGATGAGCTATTTAAATTTATGCTATTAAGAAACTCCTTTAACATGACATTGATCATTTGATAGCAACAGATTCATTCTCTTAGAAAATGTGGCTGAATAAAAGAATGTAGTTTCTCAATGATAAGTGACAGGAGTTAGAAATCTCATAAAGATGGGACTGAACAGGCTGTAGCAAGTGAATATAACCAAAATCACTTAATTGAAAGGTTATGAATGAACATGGTAATAAGTGAGAAGTTTGTTCAAAGACTTTGTAAAGAGAAAGTGATAAATGGCCATGTGCTCAAAAGAACCATTATGAACCCCTATGTTTTTACAAGGGAAAGGACATGGTCCCCACGGCCTTCTGACATTGTCACAAATATTCAGAACTACAGCTGGGTAAGAAGAAACTGGCTCAGCAGCTGTTAATAACCTAGAAGGAGTCTGCCTTGAGTGTCTTCCAAAGTCAGTTAGCGCCTCAACATATCGCTGCTGAACGAAACAAGCACCTAAACTGAATTGCAGTTTGCTATGCCTAAGGCTGCCCTCAGAGTGTGTGTGCACGTGTGTGAGTGCTCATGTGAGCGAGTCGCTGATGGTAAAATTATCTTTCACATTTGTGGGCTTTAATGTGCTTAGCCCAGTGTCTGACACACAGTAATTACTCCATCGGTGGTAGCTGTGATGATGATGCTCAGCCAAGGATCATCTGAAATGTACCTCATGCTCTAGCGCACTCTTTCTCCCTTTCATACACGGCCCAATTTCCAGGATCTCCAATAAAAAATTTGAGAGCCACTGTATACTTGTTGTACATCCAGAGATGTTGTGGTATTCCATCATTTTACTCATCCCATTTTATCACGAATGATGTAGAATAACATGAAGGAAATGGAAAAGAAAAAGGAATCTTTCTCAACTATGAGATTCCATATAAGGTGGGCTTATGTTGGGGCTTGTCCTTACTATTAGAAGTACAAAAAACACCTTATAAAATTCTCTCAGGGATAAAATGATCCCATAGCATGGTATCTAGGGTGAGAGGCTCTACTCTGCATGTGATGTAGCTTTATGAAGTCGACAGGAACATTCTAGGCTCACAATCTCATCCTCCTGGATGCCACCAGAAACTTCACTACAAAGAGCATATCGAATTAAGGTGTCTGCCTAGTAGGCACAGGGCACACAGTAGGCAGTGACTGCATTTCTATGGACTGATCATCTATTAAAGCATCTGGATGTGTTACCACCACCTCTAAAGTATCAATAAGATCTTACACCTGAGTAAGGATCTACGCTCACAGAATGTAGTTGAAAATGGACTAATGAAGCAAAGCCACATTGCAGGCTAGCACTAAAACAGTACCAAAGCAAAGGACAGTCCCAGTGGATTAAAGTTTACAGCATCTCTGGTTATTCTCAGGACTCCTGAATACCACATGGGTTTCATTCAAATAGCACAAGGGTCATGCTGGCCATTTTTGGCCCAAAAGAGAAATATTCCATGTTTGTGTAACATTAACCAGTCAATTTGTATGCATGTAAGTAATGTATCAGTAATAGTTTAGAACAGAAACTGGGAGATAATTGGTAACATTTTTCTTTAAGCTGCTTAACATTCCTAATGTGTAAACAGGGTTATATCATCATAAATAATCATATATGCTCTGGTTTCCAGAATATACAGCAACATAATAAATGCAAAGGGCTTGCTCTCAAGTGAAGACAGAGAATATTTGCTCTGTTCATGTTATATGCTCTATGCCATATGACACATTTTTGAGTGCGTGCAGCCCAGACCAATACACACGCGCGCACAGTGCAGACAGCATCTGAAATGCAGACAGCATCAGCAGTCCCAGAGGGACGGTGATACATCCACGGTGTTTCCGTTACTAATGGCCTGTGCTCAGGGCCCAGGGAAGGCCAACGCTACAGTTTCTATCTGGGAAACAAAAGCAGACTCAACCCACAATGGCAAATGAGGCTGCCAAAGCCAGTGCAAAGGGCCAGGTCATGCTGAGAGGGCCATTTTCTCCCCCAAAATCCTCAACTGGGAAATTCATTTCTTTGTTATCTCTGGAAATTCAAATGAATTTTTACTGCCACTGTCAATTTTAGATCATTAGATGGGGAAAAAACCCTTGAGAGAAGAATTTGTTCTTTTACTCACTGTATTTGAAACATATATAATTACTAGATTTTATCATACTACTGGCTGGTCAATATTCTTATATTAAGACAAAATAGAGAGCTTTTGGATAATAGAAACTGGTGTTGTATGATTTCATAGACTGACTCTAAACTGCCCAAGATGGATGTTCCCAGAAAGATCAATTAGCAGATTTATCGGGGCCTTACTTGCCTATATTTTGTAACAACTACTTCATATGTTACTTTAATTCAAATATACTGGGAATCATTAAGTCTTTATGCTGACCGGGGACTAGACATCAGGGCCAGCGAGTCTATGCCCACTTTGGGCCCAGGAACATGTTATGTTTGGCCAGCAGTGTTTTTTTGTTTTTTTAAAAACTGAACGTGAGCAGACAGGACTGTCTGGTTTCCTGGAGTCCCCACCGTTTGCTCTGGTTCCTGTACACATCTGAGTTTGTGTCTTCTTATACTTCTAACAGCAGGGAGGTCAAAGCAGGTAACCCCTCGACCAGATATCACACCTTGGAAGTTTCAGATTTTCAAAATTTTAGCAACTATGATTTATTTAATCAAATCAAAATTTACATGGAGCTCTAATACATGAAATAGTGTTATTAGCTTAATGTATATTACATACTCAAATGTATGAGCCTAATGTACTGTACTTTAATAATATCATGCATTTTAGAAGATTTTCAATATAGATAGTAAGGCTGCTTTCATGTACTCAAAAATCTGAAACCAGAGGTCAGGGAGAACGATAAATCTCAGCATTAGCATCTGATTTTCACCTTTTTTGAGTTGTTCTGGTTATAAAGAGTAGAAACAGCAATTTTTGCTTAACTACTAATCTTGTGGTTTCCAAAGACTGTTCGTATATGTTACTTATTAATTAAGCAAAATTACTTGATATTCTCCCTCATAGTCGGCACTCAGTCAAGTGCTAAAGATACCAAGAAATGAAACATGGTTCCATGAACTCCAGGCATCCAGGAGCCAAGAAGGCAAGCAGTCTAGCCTTCAAGCTGTGAGAATGACAACATTCCTACCAAGCTCTATGGATGAGAGTAGAGGGGTAAAGTATAGCACTTTTTTGTGTGACATCTTATTTATTACTGACCTCTCCCTCGAACTGCTCTATGCTACTCAGTACACTCATCACAGGGTCCTGTAGGCCCTGCGTCACCACGCCAGTATTTCTTTTCATGGTCAAGCTACCATATTTCATTTGTATGTGTGTATAAACGTGCAGCATGTCACAGGAATTCATGCAGTCAGTACTGGTCCAGTTTGGATTCCCCACAATTATTGCAAATCCTTCCGCTCTTCCTCCCTTCCCTCCATCCTCCTTTCTTCATTTTTAGAGAAAGCAGTTTTGAATAGCAAATTATCACCACACTCTTGTAATCAAGTTCTTCAATGCTCTTTGCAGCAATAAAATAATAATTTCAATTAAAACTTACCTCTTCCTGGAGTAAACTCAAACCGTATGTCATTAAGTTCCTTTCTGGAGTTTCTGAAATACATAACACATAGCACATTAAAATCCAATGAAGCACAGCTGAATCAAACTAAATGTATTCCAATTTTTACAAGATGCTACTAACATGCAGACAGCATTTACAGTTTTGGGTTACCTCTGAGTACTTCCTCAAAAACGAGAGATAGTTATGGCAATAATAAAGGGAGATATTTAACTGATTGAATTTACCTTATATAAACATGTTTACTTCACAAAATTCCAAAAATAAAATGTTCTTTCATAAAATCTACACTAAATCAATAACCTTAAATATAATTCCATAATTAAAAATTTCAGATGTTAGTCTAGGATAAATAATATTTGATACATTTTTCTTATCTTTCTTGAAAATAGTATTTCATCAATTATTTTTCAAAGTGAAACAATCAGGAAAGATAGTCTTGGTGGTAAAGTTTATGACAATACTATGCATTAAACCATGCAACAAAATGCCCACAAAAGGATATGTAGTTTGTTATTAAAAATTTTATCTATGGGGCACCTGGGTGGCTCAGTCGATTAAGGGTCTGCCTTTGGCTCAGGTCATGATCCCAGGATCCTGGGATTGAGCCCACATTGGGCTCCCCACTCAGCAGGGAGCCTGGTTCTCCCTCACCCTCTGCCTGCCACTCCCCCCTACTTGTGCTCTGTCAAGTAAATAAATAAAATCTTTAAAAAAAATTTATCTACATAGAGGGGGAACCCCTGAATGTTGTGAAATTATCCATTGAATAAACTTTTTTAAAAGTAAATACAAAACGCTTACATAAAACTGTAATATATACATATGTATATTAAATCCAAAATCTGACACTAGGGTAATATGGAACAAGTAAATACCTAAGATATGAGTTTTACATTCACATTAATTTCAAGAAATGATATAGGGCAGTGAGCTATAATTAGAATGATTTTAAATTCTCATAAGAACACTAAAATATTATGAGTAACTCTCAACAGATGCTACAATTAAAGTTAATAAAAATACCGTAAGAAATTGCAGTAGGAAACAGGAAATAATAGTTTCTACAAACACTCAACTATTTGCTCAGCTGCCAAGGGTCCAAGACAGAGATAGAGATGGCCTGAATACCCATCCCAAACAGCCTCCTTCTGGTACCAGGAGAGTCTGATCAAATCTTGTTTAGTTCTCCAGTTTAGGACTCTAAAAACCCTGAGTAATATCTCCTGGTCTCCAAGTACAGTGCCCACATCATGATGCCACCAGTCTCTGAGCCCTTCTTGGTCCCCAGCCTGAGCTTGGTTCTTCAGGTCTTATGATATCCTACCACACTAAATGCAGGAAGCACAGAAAAATGACAAAGGCAAAGTACCAACTTAGAGAAAGCCCTTCTCCCATGCCTAGAGAAGCTGGCCCAAGTCTGCACTTTTCCACAAGCAGAGAAGTAAGGGTCAAGAATCCAAGAAATGCCCAAGCCCAGGCCACAGTCATAAGAGCCTTAAGCAACCATGTATCTTTTCCCAGGTGTCCCCACCTTGACTGTCATTATTCTTCTCACAGTTAGAATGGGACGGGGGTGGGGGGGGAGGGGGATAATGGCAACAGCTAAAGCTGTGCTTCTTTTAACATCTTCTTTTCAGGACCGAGGACTGAAAATTGTGGACTCTCACGCTAAAAAAGTAGACATAGGACCAACACATGAAATTGCAGACAACTGAAGATGGTTCAGAGATCATCTTGGACCCCACACTAAGAGACCCCGGTCCTAGAGATGGGGCAGGCCATGAACAATCAGTGCCTACAACAGAAGGGCTTTGTGCCTGTGGCCTTGTTTATCTACCAATGTCACCACACATTTACATAGTGCTTTCATATACATCAGCAGTTCTCAAACTTTTTTTTTTTTTGTAAACCTCTATAATGTCTGGCTTAAGATAGATGGATTCTTATTTTTGCTTTTGTATTCAATCTGCTGCAATATCACATATCACATTGCCAGCCGCTGGAAAATCCACTCTAACGTTGAAATAATGAGAAAGAAAAAGGCACATAATTTATAAAAATAGTTTGACCTCATAGGCTCCCCGAAAGGGACTCAAGGACCCCCCCCCCCCCGGATCATAGGACCACACCTTGAGAAACACTGATATCAAATCTCATGAATCAAATCTCATTTGATTCCAGCAATCAATCTTTGAGATATGCAGAGTAGGTACTATTTGTTTTCCATTTTTTTTAGATGAGCACATTCAATGGCCTTTCCAAGTTTACCAATTGAGTGGCAGAGTGAGGACCAAAATTCTACATTGGAAATGCCTAATGCAAATACAGAAAAGCGCAATTCCTTTCACTTTTGAGAAAAACAATATTCCTCAAGATTTTTCACATTACCATAAAAAGATCAGCAAGCATTCTTTTATTTAATAGTGTCGGTTTTATGTGCTATGTATCAACAAAGGTTGAATTAGAACTAAAACAGTCCAGTAAGAAAAAAAAAAATGATCACTAGGAAAGCAAACATTTATAGTATATTTAATAATGAAATGACAGGAGGAGGAAAAAAGGAAAAGGAATTTGATTTGATGCTAATTTAGGTCATTGTTCTTTCCCTTTCTTTCTTTTGGTCAGTCTTGTCTAAATTAGTTTGTCCTACTAAGGCCATAATAAGAGAGGTATAAGAACTCTACCCGGAATATCATCACGCACATCCTGATTCTTTCAATATTAATACCACAGAAGTAATATCCAATACCCATAATCTCTACATCAACTATGGCTCAAGTTACGGAGGTTGCCTAATCAAGTCATTCTTTTATGACTCTGAACCTAAAATACTTGCCTTTGAAAAGATCACAGTGATTGATTGTGAGTAGTAGACTTGTCTCATCAGGTTGAAATATAGTTGGAAAAATGCCTAATTGGATCTAACTACTGAAGGTCATCCTTTTATAAAGAATTAATCTTTTCAGACTCATATTTAACACCTTTAATTGAAAGTACATTTACTTTAATTGATATGGCACAGGATATTCTTGATTTCAAAGAAGCTGAAAATAGGTAGGATTTAAGGCCAGAAACTAAGTCTGTGCAACTTTATAAAGGAAATGTTTAAAACTTGAGAGAAACAGCTTTAAGACCCAGGCTACCTTATTAAAAACCCTGTTAATCCTGGAGTGCCTGGGTGGCTCAGTCGGTTGAGCGTCCAACTTTTGGTTTTGGCTCAGGTCATGATCTCAGGTCCTGGGATCAAGCCCGAGTTGGGCTCTGTACCCGGCGCAGAATCAGCTTGGTATTCTCTCTCTCTCCCCCTCTCCCTGCACCATCCCACCCTCTCCCACCCTGGCTCGCACTCTGTACCTCTCTAAAATAAATAAATAAAATTCTTTAAAAAAAAAAACAAAAACAAACTTTAATCCTCAAAATAACAACAAAAACTCACCCCAACAAAAAAACATACTCCCGAGTTTGATAAGCACAAACCCTTCTCATTGTAGGTATATATTACATCACAAAGGCAAATGTCCACAGGGCTCAGGCAGAATATTTATTTTTTAAAATTGGTGACACCATCACATGGTTTAAAACCCAAAAGATACAATAGGGTATTCTGTAAAACCTAGGCCTCCTACTCTTGTCACTCAACTACCTGGTCTCCCTCAATCATATAGGCTTTTTGTACATCCTTCCCAAGATGTTTCATGCATATATCAGCAAATATACACAAATAGTTCCTTCTTGCCTGTTTAATATAAATGCAGCATACTATATCCATTGTTCTGCACCTTGCCTTTTCTTTTAATAAAATACCTTGGAATTTCTCCCTATTGGTTCATAGAGAGCTTTCCCATTCTTTTTTTTATAGCTACATACTATTCTGTTGCCTGTGCAATCCTTTCTTGAACCAGTTCCCATTCTATGAACAGACTGTTTCTGGTCTTTCACTATTATAAACAATGTTCAATGAATAACCTTGTTCTTATGTCATTTTGCAAATACATGAGTATGAAAATAAATTTCTAGAAGCAAGTTCCTTGGCCAAAGGATAAATGCATTTGCAATTTATAGATATTGTCAAATTCCCCTTCATTTAAGTTGCACCAATTTATATTCTCACGAGCAATTTGCAACACCATTGCAGGAACTTTCAATGAATAAAGCAGAAAGTACAGTAAAAACAAATCAGGGAGATGTGTTCTGCCGGCTGGAAAGTTTCTTCCCCATTTAAAAAGGGCAACAACTGCTCAGCACCAGCTGATTAAACCAGACAGGAATTTGGGCTCAATCACATTTAAAAACACACACGTGCGCACGCGCTTGAGATACATATCAATATATAGGTTATATGTAAAATACATATGCTATATATTATATATATAGGTTATATATAAAATACATATACTATATATTATATATATTTTTTTGCTATGTTCAAAGTGACAAATCCAGAGATACAGATTGTCATGTTTAAAGTCTTCCTTCTTGCTCATTCAATTCACCTGCAAGGGACACCGTGAACCCTCGAATGAGGCAGCTGGCTTGGAGGGTGGGGATGACCATCACGTGAGTGAGCATGTGAGCGTTCCTGGTGACGGAGGTGCAGGGGGCCTGCGCAGTTGGAGTCTGCATTTTCTAGGAGGTAGCATTTTTCTGCACTTCTTAACGTACCACGTCAGGACAGTCTGATAGAGTTATTGTTCCTGGAGGGCTCCAAAGCCAAAATGCCAGTTCAGGACTATGTGCATTCCTTAGCTTCACATTCATGTCTTTCAGCCCATGCCAAAAAAGGCACACATCCCCCAAGAACCAGATGTGATCAAAATGCTTAGAAGCCCAGAGACCACTGGTTGTCAAAGGGCATGGGCAACCATAAGTGCCATTGGCACCGCGTACCCTCCACCACAGGGATGCTCTGCAGTGAGGCTGAGTGCCAACCATTTCCCCAAGTTCTGAGGCTGAAGGACGCAGTTGGGGTAACACTGGCAGGTACGGTGTTTTCTAGGGGTCCAGACATGGCCCCTCCCTTCTAAGCAAC